TCTATCTACTAATCACCAGTCAGAAATTACAATATGTGTTCACCTTTCTTGTTAGTTGCAGACAATAGTAAAAAAAACAGCATGTTACGCACTGTGTATTACAAAATAAAATTACCACTGTTAGTATTTAAACGTCAAAATTTCTTATTGGCTGTAAAATGGTCTTTTACAAGTCCTTGAAATCAGTTCAATTTTCAGTGTATAACAAAAAAAAAAAAAGTGCTTTTCATATTTTAAATTAATTCTGCAATTATTAACCTAATTTCTTTGAGATAACATCTTTATTTAAAACATTTCTTCAGAAAAGTTTATGCAGATATAACAGCCTTTGAAAACAAATAACCTTGAGTCATAATACTGTGTAAACAGTTACACTGCATCTCGCTAGTCTAACACAGTCAGGGGTAGGCGTACCTTGGCCTCAAACTTGTTAGATCATGCACAAAGACATAACAACTTTTGTACACGCCAAGTCACTGCATGTCAAGTTCCCTTCTCTCAGTTTGTTTTGTACTGTTTTAACTTACTTTATCAATTGTCCTCTTGGACATTTTATTTAGAAAACATTTTTACTTAAAGCACTGAAAAAATAGCATTGCCAAAACCTTGTGTCCGCCTATAGGTACAGCTGACAAGGCTAAAAACAAGTTAGGGGTTTAAACACACATTGTATTGTACAGAGTAGGTCATACACAGTCTGGCGCATTTCAACACCTTGTTCAGAAGCTATAGGTCAGGGTTGAATTAGGTGGTCGGGAAACTTGTCAATGTCTATTTCTAAATCAAAAGCTATGGTGAAATACAAAATTTAATAGTATTCATATAAAGAGTCCAGTTTTACTTGTTACTAATCAGACTAAAAGGAGAACACAGGAGATTACTTCTAGGGCCTAGTAGAATTGTTTTTCCCCAGCTATGGGAGGGGAAACTCCCCCTCCTCTGGCGCTACGCATCTCCAATGCTCGACCTCCTGAAAGCAAACACTCCGAAAAATGATTTGCTATATGCCATTGGCCACATAAAAAATAAACATTGGAGCAATTTTTGCTTTATATAATATAGATAGTATTTAGTAACTATGTACACTTTCTACACTTAAAACAAGGCAAGGGTAGAGCCAACGCTGTGATTTTCTTAATGGTGGAATTATTTGGTCCTTTGCTCCTCGTCTGGATACCCTAAAGTATGCAGGGGATTGACTAAAAGTGAGAACATCATAAGATAGATTCAATCACAACAGGCGAAGGAGTAATAAGTTATTCTTGTAGTTTATTAGAAGTGTCGACCAGTTTCGCCCCTACAATGGGCTTCTTCAGCACACTTTCTACACTTATATCCAAAATTATTTGAAGGTAATGGTATATCCATTAATTTCAAATCTGGCACATAGAGAATAGTACGTTTTTTAAGATATATCTATTATATCATACTTATCTCAATAATCCCCCAAATAAATTCTTTTTAATTTCTACATGTAGGTATTTGCCATGAAAAAGGGAAGAGACAGCTATACTAAATACAGAGTACAATTAAATGCAAGGCTCTTTCAGTTGACCCTTGACATTTAGTAATGTTCGAAAGTCAAATCACAATATCCTTGAAATTTGAAGAGTAAAAATAACAAAACTTTAAACCCAAGAATCAAAATTAACTTTGGGGAGTAAAAAACAAACTCAAAAGTGTTTACTGAAAGCCTGTTTAACATGTAGTACCAGATCAAATTATCTCCCCTTTTTCAAAGCAGATACCTGTGGTATCTATGTACCCAGTCAGTTTAGACCCTTTAATGAGACATTGGTCTTCTCATTGTGATATGTGACATCAAAAGAATTGTCCTTTTGATCAGTAGAAGAAATCATTGACCAAAACAGTTGTTAGCTGGTCCTGATGTGATCTCATGGAAACAGAAGATCAACCTCAAATCTTCAGTGGTCACTGGTGTCATTCTCTTACATTCTGTACCCCTGCAACATGTCACGATAAAATCAAAGACTTTTTTCACACTATCTTGCAAATGCTAGAGTAGTGTAGTTTGATCCCCTGCATAATAGATGTCTGCAATCAAAGGAATAGAACAGCAGCGTAATGGTAAAATTGACTGGCTTTGAAGTCAGGTGTTGCTCCTCTGTAAGGACAGGTATCAGACTAGTTAGTGGTCAGTTTTTTATGCCTAAAACCAATCAAACAGCTTATCGCATGCATTCCATTTTATCATGACAAATTCCAGGGGTGCAGAGAATAATTAAGTGAGCCTACCCCTTGGAATTTTGACAATTTTCTTTTTGAAATTCTGCCTCAGAAACCGAAGGATATAGGATATCCTTCATTTACCTACATTTGATACTCTATTAGACATGAATAAAACATGTTTTTATTGTTTTTCCTCATTTCTAGTTAATATCAGAACATCTTTTGCCTGTGTTTGCAGTAAATATTCTAAAAATTAATAAATATATATATCATCAATCTACCACCTATTTCAACACCCATGTTCAGTTTGATATAGAAATAGAAAAGTAATGTTTTACTTACAGTGGAACAACAGCATTGTAATGTCTGAACTGAGGCAGACACAAAAACAGGCTTTCATAACATGTGACAATGGTAGAATAAATATTATCAACATATGTTCATATATTATGATGGAATATATGTTACGTCATAAAAATGTTTGAAAAGCAATAAATAACATTTCCAACATTTTTTCACTTTTGTTACATATGTTCCGTCATAATACATCCCATATTTGATTACTTGTATATGCTAATTGTATTGTTTGTATAAATTGTATATCTAATGTACTGTAAGGCGCTTTAGAGTGACTTATTCTAGATAGATAGGGTGATATATCAAATGTTGTATATTATTTATTATCATTGTCTCATAACACACAAAAAACATTTTCAATTGAATATTACATTATAATCTATATAAACAGATGTTTCACATTTACATATATTGATCATGAGTAAATGCGATATAGAAGTCTCGGCTTCTGACGGGCTGTAATACAGACAGACAAAATCCAGCTATGATCAGCATTCCACAGTCCACGTTATATTTATATAAGAAGTCAAAGCATCTCTATGAATTGACAAAAACTTATGCAATGTCCATTGTTTTGGAGCTTGTAGTTTAAAACACAGGACTCATTTAAACTTCTGGTTGGGATATTTTGTTTTCTTCATTGAGTGCACATAATGCTGAGTACATTATAAATAATAGATCTTGGAAGGATCCTTCAAAATATTTTTTTCGTGTTAGAAACCCAAGAGGGAAATAAATTCACACACTAAGAAAGTTAGTGATCATAGTCCCAGATCAATAAATCATCAATCACAGGTCCTGCCTTACAGCTGTGTTATCAACTGGAATAGGACCAACGTGGTGGACGAAGAGAGGCTTTCGAGTAGTTCTTGAGAAATAGCAACAAAACATTAACTCTCAAAATATCAGTTGTCTTATTATGCCAGCCGTCTTGGTCTTGTGATCAGTTCCAAAATTAAACATACACAACTATCAGAATCAAGAGGGAACTGATTTGTGAAATTTGAAAAAGTTCTCTAGGTTTTTTATCAGAAACAGTGGTAATATTTTTTCACTGTCAAAATCCAAGGTAACAATTTTGTTCATACGGTTGGTCACAAACTTGGACATGACGCTCAACAATACCTAGGATCAGTGGAGAACGAAAATTGAGAAAGACCCATCCAGAACTTTCTGGGAACTAGATATAACAGACATTTACTGTGAAAACCTAGGAATATCATTATCCGAGAAAAAACATGTCTGGAAACTAAATAGGATTGGTTTTCATGTGTACAATAAAACAGTGAAGGCTGCACACTACCTAATACTGAGTTATTGGCAGGATCAGAACAAAGTCTGATGTTGTCTATAAATGTAAGAAAACACCTGTCTAAACTCTGATTTTGTATTCATCTATGCAGAGAGAATATTTAATTGTTTATCGATGAGTACCAAATACATTCCACAAGTATTGCACCAGAGATGTTTTTTCACATATTTCATATATTTTCATATATTCTATTTGGCTAGTAGCCATCTTGTTCTTCTGATCAGTCACAAAATGGAACATGCTCAACCAAGAACCTGATAGCAGGAACATTTAAATAAAATTTGACAAAAATTTAAATAGTAATTTAACACATCAATTGTTTTTGCTGTCAAAGGTGGATCAGCTTGCTTTCAAACTCAAGTTTTGTAGCTTAATATATCAGAGGACTGCTTTTAACACCAATAAAGTATGCATTTGTTTTGCTTAAATCTCAATCTCTCTATTTGTAAATTGTCAAAATCACATATTATAAACAGCTACATGTAGCTTAACGTATACTGTATATTTCACGACATATATATGATACAGATATAAAAATGTAGGAAGTAATAAAGCGTTAAAGAGTATTAAGTTGCTTTCAAAAGAACATCACGGAAACTGGAGATCTTCAGCGGTGTTGGCACAGATACCTAAATATAGCTATAGCCACACACACGTTTATTGATTTCATTATTCTGTGACGTGAACAATGATGGGATGGGCTGAATAGCGTTAATAAACAATCGTACACAACTTGTACAACATAAGCACCAACACCTAACATAGGACTTACTTTGTAAGCCTATTTCTCCATTCTTTAACAACACTGAATGTGTAATTTCCTGATCGTGTTACGTAGACGCAGTGTTATGTTACGATACGCCATGTTATTAGTTTATACTGTATATAATATATCAAGACGGGTCTTGCTACCGTCTGTTAATAACAACATTTATCCAAAAACGGATTACAAGACCACTCACTGACTTATTGACGATACCGTGTAGCATTCATAACATAATTTGATTTGATAATCCTGTGTATTGAGCTCGACACATTTACCTCGCCTGGGGCCAGTCGTGGGAGGAAATCATAATTATCAAACCACAATAGCAAAATACTTTCAAAATGTGAATAGGAAATAACAACTATCACCGCTTACGTAGTGTTTGAGTGACGATTCGATGCTGTAATGTAGTCTTCAAGTTTATACCGGCGTCCTTCCTATGATCTTGGTCTTTTGAATGAAAAACACCACTAGTGTTTATCTGACCTTGACCCGAGTTGACCCGAACATTGCATTTGATTGGTTAAAAAGGTGGGCAGGTCTCCACGCACCCACTTCGGTGCTTTTCCATTCGGATATTTAGTTAGCTAACAATAAAGAAGTCGGGTATATATAATCAAGCTTTTAAAGGAGGCTCGTTAAATAATTTCACGTCCAGTTTTGACAGACATAGAATCCTAAACACTTTAGGAAAAAAAGATGAAGGAAGCACACTTTTTGTTTCGATAATCCTCTTATGATGGCACTTTCCGTAAGCGAGTGTATTGTCCATGATTAAATGTTTCTACAGTTTATATCAGGCGCGGTTTAAGGGGGGAGGTGGGAGGGGGGGGCACACCCGGCCCCGGCCCCGGCCCCGCCCCCCC